CAACTGAACGTGGGAGAGACCCCATGGAGTTACAGTCATGTCAGTGAGTAGTTAACCCAGAATAGTCAGTAAGTGCAACTTATTTTATAAAGGACAGGAGTGCAGTGTGTATCTGGTTATAGCAACTTGGACCTGTGGGCTGTAGTATAGAGAAATATTCACTATGGAAAATTAATATATTTGGTTGACTGGAACAAACTTATGTTTACTGAAAGTTTAAAGACTGCTAGTACAGCACATCCAAAGAAATTTTAATATGTGGCTTCAAGTATAGTTAGTATGCTAATATAGTAAGTCCTAAATTCTAGATTTTCTCATGTATAGAGGACGTAAAGTAGCAGATATTTTATTAGAAAAACAGAGGACTGGCAAAAGGATGCATTGGAATGTGAAGAATTTGCCCATTTCATAGGTTGCCTAACTTCTTGAGTTGTGGGTATTTTTCTTCTTTGCCAAAACACATTTGTACCTTCTAAAACAGTTTCAGTAAGTAGAGTCTTAATGAACTCCAAAATTGTATAGGAAACGAGAATTCTTACGGAAAGAATTACTAAAGATGACTGCAACAGCCTGGAAGCAACTTGAGGTTACTGAGTTTTCCACCCATTGGCTGTTGGGCTTACCATAGAGCATGCCCAGCTCCCCAATATTTCTGATGTTAGAGAGAAATGTTAGTGGTGGGCTCCTGGCTCCCCGTTGGACAGAAGTGTCAGACTCCCCTAGGAAGGGGCACAGCCAAGCCTGGATACATACCCAGCCAGAAGTGCTGTGCCCATTCCAAGTAAGTGTTACTGTTTAATAAAGAGCTTGTGACATGTAGGATGTTCTGATGACTGCAGGAAGTCCTCCTGTTGCTCTACTTTGAACCTAGTCATGTTAGTTTTCCTTAATAATGTTAGCAAAAAGGTAAAATACCAACTCTGATACTATGCTGCTGTGTTTTCTGGCTTGGACCAGTGTTATTACAAGCTGCTCTGAAGAGCATCCAGGCCTTTGTCTTGCATAGTAAATCTGTTTAAAATTAACATTTTCATTACTGTTGTATTGCCTCAAATGATACTGGTGCTTTTGCTATTAGCACCCTAGAGGAAGTGCCTTACTAATTTTCTTCCTTTTGTAAAGACACACTGAAGTTTTGTTGCTCTGAAATGTGCTGCTTTTAGTCCTTAATAGAAAATATGATGTTACTGGTTCCAAACAGTGGTACTTTGTCATATTGATGTGCTCTTGCTATATATAATATAGCATTTTACAAATAAATTAAAGTTAGGTAACGTTTTTATTGAAGTTATTTTTAAAGGTAGAAAAATGGCATTTTATGATTAGTTTTGCTTTCATTTTGTGCCCATCTCTGTCCATAATTCCTCTGTGACAGCCAGACCCTGAGGAGTGAATACATGGTGTGGAAGAGCTGCAGGCTCTGAGGAATGGGTGATTCTTCTATACAAGAAGAATCTTCTGTACATTTTTGTACACATACTTGTACAAGCATTTATGCACAGGGCCACCATTCACAAGGCTGCCACTTCTGTCCCCTGGTAGAAGTGTTGCATGACATGGTTTGTGCACCAACACAGCTTCACTGCAGTAAATCGACAGCTCTCACTTAAGAACTTGCCACTTTCCTTTAATCCACCTGCATAATTGTAGGGGAAGTTACTCCACAGCCCATCTCTGGCAAAAAGTCAAGTTGAAAAACAGCCCACCAGACACAAACACCCCCTCCAGCACTGATGAGACACAGCAGGAACAGGGACAAAAATCATGTCTACCCTACTTGCACAAACACTGCAGTCAGCTGAATTTGGGCCAGGAGTTGGGCAATTAGAATAATTATCAGTTACAGATTGTTTTTGTTCAATGCTTCTATTTAGATTAGCTGTGTCATGAGAGAATTGCCATAACAAGATCAAAGTATCAGTCTTGAGAAAGTGATGTGACCATTTAGTTCTAAGAATGAAATAGCTTGAGCAATAATATACATTGTGAAGGTAAATAGAAGTAAGAAAGCCAAGGAAAAACAGCACAGGTTTCATATAGACAAGTAGATAAGAGTGTGCCTCACCGTTTCAGGACTTTCATCTGAAAAAAAAAAGCCCAAGAAATACAAAAGGAAAATGCTGTAGGCTGTTCCTCTTATCCTAAGAGGGAGGGGTGTTCTGCAAAAGTCAAAACTACATTTTTAGCATGGTTTTCAGGTAGAAATGCCTAAGAGACATTAGTATGTCTTGCCTGCAGAGTAAGAAGGAATCAGATGCTTTTCTAAAACAAGATTTTTAAGTTATGCATCCTGTATGAGCTTTTAAAAAAGAAACACTTGCTACATACCAATTCGTCTTCAAGGACTGACTGCAGGCAGACTAATGATTAAAGATACTTTATTGTCTACTAATTACATTGATCACTGTTTTGCCACGTGCATGTCCTCCTTCCAACTTCAGAAAGGCCTCTGGTACTTCAGAAAATGAGAAGACTTCATCAATAACTGGTTGAATCTACAGAATAAAGAAAAAAAGTATGAAGTAATGTATCACCCTCACACTTCAAAACTGTATGAAGAAGGGGAGGAGGTTTCTTTATGGTATTTAGGACAGAACTTGCCATGCTGCCATGTAGCCACCAGCTTTTAAGATTTTTCAGGGATACTTCTGCATCCAGAAGAAGGCTTTCTGCTGCTCTTTGCCCAAGTTTTAAAACACCTCTACTAGCACAGTTTGGACCCTTACTTGGGGCCTCTACCACTAATGTCACCATATAAGGCTCTAACTTCTACATCCTTTCAAAAACTGACACTCTGGTTTAATTTTTTGTTGTCCATAATGATATACTTACAGAAAGAACATTTTTTTCCTCACATTTCTCTAACAGTTTTCTTGTTAAACTCAAGAATTCTCACGTTAGATCTTTTAAAGATACCTATAAATCTGAAGCCTGTCTGCATCAGTACATGGCTTAGTACCCTCAAAAGACCACAAATGAAGTACAAAAAAATGTTGCTGAATCATTTAACTACACTTGAAAATTCAGCCACTGTATATTCCAGGAGGCATAAATCATTATTAAGCTCAGCTTGCATCAACTGCTATTTTGACATTAATTTTGTAGAGTGGCCTTCTGGATTGTTTTAGACTGATTTCTAATAACAGTTAAACTACTTATTCACTTTCCCCATTATTAACTAAGGAGCCTGAAACCCCTATACGCATTTTCTTTAGATGTCATAGTGTACCAACAGAAGCAGAAGAAATGTCAGCTCTTCTGAAAAATATTTGTCACTGCTGGTCCAAGGGAAGAGGTTATTTTCTACTGTCAAGTTCTGAGTCAGCATTCCAAGTGCCAAAATATGATTTGTCTCCAGAAGTACTTCTCACACCTCCTGCCAAAGATCTGCCTACCCTGAGACAGGTCCTTTACCTTGGATCCTATAACAGCAGCCCAGTGCATGTCCTTGCACTGATCCTAATCCTCTTATCAGAGGAAAAAAATGACCAGTACATGAATCTGCAGCTAGGGCTTGCAGTGATGAAAATTTGAAGTACCAAAGATCCAAACCCACTATTTACAGTGCTAGAAGAAGATCCTTTTCACTTGTGTCAGGGAAAAAATATCTTCTGCATTATCTTTATATTAGGGTGAGCATGCACCCTCTCTTGTTAACTAAGCCAGAACTGGTAGTTTCTCTCTGCTGGCAGGATATGCATTGTGCTAGACAGAAAAGGAATACTGCAGCAATAAGGACACAAACACTTTCCAAAAAGCTGCCTTGCTTTTACCACACAACAAAGGTTTTGCTTTCAGATACTCTCAGAACTGCTTAGAAGGCGAGTGTGCAGCACCATCAAGGGAATGTTTTCATACACACACTTTCCTAGCAACAGAGCTGATCACCTAGCACCCTCCCGAACAGCACAAATGCTCTATGATAATTGTCCATGCTCAGGGAAGTCCTTTTCTTAGAATTCCTCGTTTCCTCTTCATTTATACATTGTGCCTTACCTTGATGTTCACTCCTTGCACTTAAAGAACTACTGGCTTTACTTATATGATAACAGTAATCCAAGACATCAGTACTCTAACTTGCACCACAGTATCCCCTAATATCACTTGATTTTCCTTTTTATTTTGTCAAGGGAAGCTTAGGCATAGTGTGAAACTTTACATGGCAGAAAATCAGGAATGAATGAACCCCTTCCAAAGAATGCATTAGAATTTGCAGACTAATCACTTTGAGAGCAACTGTGCAAATAGTCACCAAGTGCCTCAAAATTGCCATGCAGCAAGGTACATGGCTTAGTAATTTCTCTTGTTCTGCCTGGACAATGTCTGTAAACCAACCCCTAGCAAAAGGGGTAGCAAAACACAACTGAGGAACCACAAAGATAGCCCAATGTGGAAGAAATGGTGGATATAAAGGATCATGTTCAAGACAAACTCGTGTCTGGTCAGCATTCAGCATAGAATGGAAATGTTGTCTTGGACATCAGCAAAGAGACATGGACTCAAGGCAGCAAAAACACTGAATTAGACAATGGTTTGGGGTAAACTGAGCATATGAGTGCAGCTGCAGCTGCTATGACCATCAGCAAGACGAACGTGCTGCTGATCAGTACTGACTGTTTTGAAGGAAGACCAACCCTTGCATTCATAGCAGATGCTTGGGAAAACACAGTTTGGGAACTTGGTTGAGCCAAGCACTTGTACAGTACTGATTGTTAGTGTCAGTTGTGTACAAAGCTGTGCTTCAATTAAGAGGGAAAAAAGAGATACAGAAACCCAGCCTGCTGGTGCATGGACACAGATGACCCAGACAAGGCAGCAGGCTTGGAGGAGAGGAAAAGTGTTCAGGGAAGAAAGCAGAGCAGCAGCACAAGGGATGTGAAGTTCAAGGGATTCCGGGGAAAGGCAGAAGTTAATTTCAGACACGTGCAGCAACTGAGAAAACATGAACAAGACATTCACTGTTCTGCTAATCCACAGTCCCTTGCTCTAGGTTACAACTTATAACTCTGACAGAGGTATGTTACAGCCTCAGTCTGTTGGGTAGAGTTTAAAACATTGCATTTGGAAAAGTGGTGACGCAGTGATTCAGAGGAGCCCTGAATTCAGTCTCACAGTTCAAAACACCATGTGTATTGCAGCCACATGCTCAAAGCTCATCTGCTACATCGATGTAACCTCTAGCTTCATTTAAATGCTGGCTTTAGGCAGTGCTATAGAGAGACATGAATACCAAATTGATGATCCTGGCAATCTAGAGCATTAAGCATTTTATCTGGCTGGCTGGACAGTCCCATTGTTTGAATAACCCTGAAAGGGCTGACCATGTTGCAGCACAGTGATTCACTCAGCCTTTACCATAATCCACTGACTAAGATAAAATTTCTTCCTGTGAACAGACAAGCAGGGGAACGTCTGCTGTTTGTTGAATATGTGATAATAAATGGAGATTAACTGGATAATAAAAACATTGCCTATTTACAGCCACGCATCAGTTCCTTGCCAGAGGACACCTATTTGTTCACGGAAAAGGGATTAAACTAAAGTCTAAGAGAGAAAGGATTACACATACCCACATTGAAATGTTTATCTGAAAACAGATTGGGCCTGAAAGGTATTTTCTTCCTCTTCATTCTCTCCAATGCAGGACATACTATAGCAATGAATCTCAGGTCTCTTGAAATGAACTCATGTGTTTGAAAAAATAAAAAGAGTAATCACTGATAGTGATTAAGGCTATCCTACACACATAACAGAGGGGTGTCCCAGCCACTCCAGCTCTGAATGCAGTAGACAGTGAACAGCACTGGCAGGAGTTGACTGGACAGCAGGAACACACTCCTGCTCATAGCAAATTCAGGCTCACCCTTGGAAGTCCCACTTTCTGCGTAGCAAGGACACAGTTTTAGTTTATCAGAAGAGGAGAAGTGAGGAAGAATGAAAGGAAGGGAGAGGCTTCGACCCTCACAGTAGCAACAAGTGACTCCAATAAGTGTGGAGCTTTTTCCTGCCACTGGAGGGAGAGCAAGAGCCTTGAACGTCTCAGGAGAGCGACGAACTGAGCCCAAGCCTAGTTCACAGCGCAGAAGGACAAAAGTGACGTCTCTCAAAGGACAGTAACAGTGCACTGGCTCTCTTCCAGGTCTGCGAAGGATAGCCGTGTCAGAGCTGCCCAGCAGCCTTGCCTGGGAGAGTGCCTCCCTCCCAGCTGCTGCCTCCCTCCTTCCCATGCCTTGGTGAGGCTGCTCAGGCTCCCAAACACCAACCCTCCAGGAAAGGAACGTGCACTTGCAGAGAACAAAAGCTGGGATGTGCTCTACCAGACATCAAAGTCCTCCCGAGGGCTTGCCGTAATGGAAAAGACCTGCTTGCTGATTTGACTAGCTGATGAAAAGACAAAGGTCATCTTCCTCCAGAAATTACCACCAGGCTTAAATGTGGTCCATGAGCACAAATGCACAGCTTTACAGTCTCCTTTGGTCATTAGTGAGTCTCTCATCAATGTCAACAAGAATTGTGAAGAGAAATCATTAAAAAGAACAGTCCTTGTCCTGGAACTAAACAATTGGTTATCCATTTGTTAATTTATTATCATCCTATGGGGAAAAAAGATGCTGTTTTGGGACACTCCTACTGTAGCTGATCATCTTCTCTGCTGTAGTCATGTTCCATTCTCCCTGGATCGTAATCTCACTCTTTTCTTCTTTCTTTCTTTCCCTAAAATGGCATGCAACAATGTGTGCCAAGCCTCATATTGATTGCCAACAGCAAATTCTAGGGTCAGCTCTCACTGAAGACAAAGAATTAAGTTCTTACCTTCTGCAACAGCTGGCTTGGGTCACATCTGGAACAGATAGCTTTGCAACTGCACGGTATCAGCATAGAATCGTAGGATGGTTTGGGTTGGAAAGGACCTTTACAGGCCATTCAGTCCTAATCCCCTGGCCATAGGCAGGGACCCCTTCCACCAGACTGCTCAGAGCCTCATCTTTCAATGTTTTGGAAAAAGCTTTCCTTGCTCTTTTTAATTAACTTGTACTTCAGAGAATATGCACTTTCATCCAAAAGCACATTAAAGGACAGCACATACATTATATTTGTGCCCCGAATACCTATGAGAAGTAAAACTGAACCAACAATACACCCACAACAAAAATGGCACTGCAGTGGTTAAGATGTGGGAATGGAAGGCAAGTGTTCCAGGGTCTAATCCCACAACCTCTTATCAACAACTGTATTATCAGGTCTTACATGTTTTATTAATACGCCAAAGTACATTCTTTAATATCAAATCTCTAACAGCAGCCCACAGGAGCTCATATACATAATATACAATTATTAAAATGCTAGCAGACAAATCCCAGTTAAGCAGGCTATCCAGGTACAGTTCAGAGTGTAAAAAAAGGCTTCAAAATCTCTTGTTTGTTAATCAGCCCAGGCAGAACAACTTCTACAGAACACAATGAAGAGCAGTAAGAAACTGGGACAGGCCCAGAAC